AAGAAACGATCGCTATTAAAAGTCGCGAAAGCGCGAAGCGTGAGTCAATCTTTTCCTGCCAGACTTTTGCCCGGCGACACGGAAAAATTTCGCTGCTTTTTCGCTTAAGTCGCGTCAGGCACGTACATCCGAAGCTACGACTATTAAAGAACAAAAGGAAAACGGGGTTGGGTGAAAAAGAGAGAACGGAGTACACTCGGAAATATGGTGAGGAGGATAGAGAACGAGGGGAGGGGCAGAGTAACGTTGAGAAAATGAAGAAACGGGGAAAAGAAAGTCATTGTTAGAGGGAGGAAAATAAGAGAAACACGGGGACTGAGAAGGATAAGAAATAAATATTAAATGGAACTGCGAGGAGAAGAGGCAAGGGTGAAAAGTTGACAGGGATGGGGAGGGATGAAGCTTGGATGATAATGTAAAATGTACCAAAAAGTAGACCTGTAAGTAGAACGACAAAAAATAGTGGTAAAGGGGTAAAAAGGTACGAGGTGGTTAGCAGGAAAAAATCTGTAGAAACCCTTATACCCTGTACTTTAACTTCTACTTTCTACAAAGCGTTATAGGTGTTCTTCAAAGATTTAATGATAAAAAATAATTGCTAAACATTCGAGGATCTTTGGAATTTCTTAAATTTTCTATGGATTTCTCTTACACATAATAAGGGAAAATTGAAGGGAAAACATTTGCGTAACTGTGGGAAACACAGAGATGGTAGTAAAATAGAAGTACGAGGTAGTCACGAACAGAGAAAGAGAAGCCATAAAGCCTGGCCACGGGAATTTCATATTCCCCTTCTTCGACTCGTTTCTACAGGATAGAGGGATGGTTAGGGATGAGAGTGAGGATCTTAAACTCGAAAGTTTACCCGCTCAAGTGGTTAGCCCTTACCTAGAATTTACAAGTCCTTAAATCGTGCCTCGTAAGGAAGTGTTATTCGGGGGTCTTAATTCCTCAAGAATACCGACTTTCGTTTTTTACATCGATGACTGCCCATTTCATATGGGGTAAAATTCATCTCTATGAAAAAATCAGAAAATATCTTTTTAAATTAAAGTTACTTAAAATAAGTCTTTTATACATAGTAATGGATATGTCAAATGCGAGTTTCACAGTGAAAGGGTTAAAGAGTAGAATCATTGATCGATCGGAACGTATGGTAGAAAAGAACAAGCGTGGGACGATGATTGATAGTCAAAAATGCGGACGTGCTTGCACGTGGTAAAGCCATTAGAGCAAGCACTTTAACGGGCATGCCTGTTCTACGACAAAATAAAAAGGACAGGTTCGGCCATCAATAAGACGTTAGGTTCAATATGCGAGCATTTTTCGCTAGACGTTCGAAATTATTTCTCGAAAAAGAGGGATGTAACCAAGTAGCGGATCAAACTCTCTTGAAGCAGAATTTTTACCATGATGTGTTGAAATCGGTAGAACGATTTTGAAAAATGATAAACGTACGTGCGTTCGTTTGAAAATGCTTCTTTGCAGAGTCGATATGAATTAATTACCAAGAAATTATTCATTACCAATTGGAGTAAATTTCTCGGTGTAGTAGAAACGACCAATGAATTAGTACTTCCGCGAACATGGCCGGTTCATCGATTAAATTTGTAACTGGGCGTTTGAAAGCTTCGCTATTAATCTTGTTTACGAGGCTGCTGGTATGGTAATCGAATACGCCATTTCTGTGTTTCCTTTTGCTGGACTAGTTCTCTTTTCCAACCAATATTCCAAAGAATAGCTACTTCATAGATCGTGTTTACTTTCTCAAAGCACTGATTTCAATATCTTTGGGTGCAAGTAAGGAATTTTTAAAAATTCCACTACAATTCTTCAAATCATATAAATTTCAATTAACCAATTATTCCAACTAAAGTTAAATAAAATTGCGATTCTTAATGAATTAAACATCAGTTGTTTCTATGTTTGAATTTAAACAGCACGCAGCTTGTCTTGAATACTTAAGTACATGTTATTATAATAAATTCTGTTTTACTTGGCCGAAACTTCAGCAATAGATAAGGGATGAAACGCAGGAAGTTTGAAGCAAACGCTTGCTACAACGAGATAGAACATTTTCAGAAACAACGTGTGTTATCTCCACATAGGTTTCCACCATGTAAAATTTAGCAATAAATAATGAAGAATATCTGACGATGTTAAGAAGAAAAAATACGATTTTATTCGAAGAAAAACTTCGTTCACATGCTATTCGTACGCCTCTTCCATCTTTACTTACCTTTTCTACCTCTCTTCGCGAAAATTTATAATTTATCTTAGTCGCAAAATTCGTTCTACATTATAATTTACTACTATTACAGTAGGTGTACAAAACATGTGGATTCGAGACACGAAAGCGATGAAAACAGTTACAAGAAACACACGTTCTTTAAATTTCTTTTTGAGCTACAGTTACGTTCCAGTAGTTTTCTCTATATAGCAGGATACTTATGAAAAATGACTGCTATCTTGGTTTTCTTTTATCCTCTGTAAAGAGACTTTCTTTCACCAGATTACGTTTCGAACACGAACCGACTCACGAAATTTATAAATTTAAACCTACAATAGAGGTAATCCTTGTATAACACTACGATTAGGTTGCTGAGAAATTCTGTGTTATACGAAAACAGGAAATAATACAAAAAGAAAGCTGAAATACAAAATTCATTTCAATATGCAACACTTTAAAATTAAATCCTGACAAATCTACGTATGCAAATTTCTTAGTATAGGTTCATTGTAATTTACAATTAAAAAAAACATGAAAATGCCTCGCGAAGCTCTGAAAATTTAAATAAATTGTAATAGAAACTTTCCATTTCCGTTTCGGCACACCGAACAAGTTTACTCGAATAAAATACATCCATTTATCCAGTGATCGCGCGCGGACTTGAAAATTCCCATCGCGTGCCATGTTGTATGGGGTTTCCTTCAAATCTCTAACCGTGTTAGTGGAAAACCGTGTTGTAAGAATGCCGTATTATAGAGAGCTTTTCCCAAATCTCAAACGGTGTTAAAGCGAAACCATGTTTGTATCGACAAATTCTTGCCCGTTGATATTACATCAAGCAATTTATTTACGCGAAACAGAGCGCCAAAAATCCCGTGGCGACGGCTTTTTGATGTCGCTAAATGCGAAACAGTTAATTGGCAATTGGATTAACATGGCGTGGAATTCAATATTCATACGCGTGTCCAACTTTGCGAGTTTTCCATGCGACGGTTATTAAACAATTTATTTTTACGCAGTTCGACTTCTGCCTTGTTTAATTGCCTCCCAGTTCTTTTTTATTTTTTATTTTATTCCTCTCCGTACGAAATCGAGGACGACGCACCGTGGAAACTTCTCACGCAATCTTCCTCGAGCTCGAGGAACAGCGGGAAAAGTTTGGTGAAAAAAATTTTCAGCTCGTCCGGTTACGTAGTGGAACGGCCTTTAATTTTCCAGCGACGGTGCTCAAAATTGCTATCCAAGTTTTACAATTCAACGAACCTCCTTTTTGGCCGATTTGAATCATGACGAAACAATCGGAAAGTTAGTAACTATCAGAACCGAGGTGAAATTACGTTGGTAGGGAAAGTTTCGAAGGGGACGGGGAAAAAGGATGTTTCCGTTGCAAATTGAACGATACGACCGCGCGACTACGCGGCGCGGATCACGCGTGATTACGTTTAAGAGATTCATGAGCGAGCGTTACGGGTGAGCGACAATATTGCCCGACAAAGTTCGGGGGATTAGCTCGTGGACGGTGAGCATCAAATTGAAAAGTTTCGCTTAATTTCTTGTAAGGCATCGTGAAATTATTTGACGAGTCTTTGGGACGTTATTCTGTTAATACTCTCCTACAGCAAATTGTTTAATAACTCTTGTTTATTACAACCAGGAACATTTATTTCATAACAAACTTCGTTAAATTAAGATGAACTTTAATTTAATCCTGAAATCTCTCACTGTTCACAATTGAACGAGACGAAATAATGCATACAAAGACATTTAATGATCCCTTTCACAGGAAGTTATTTTCATGAAGTAGTTTCATGTAATTTCCTACACAAAATAATTAACATTGTTGCTACAGTTGAGCGTCTTTGAGAATGTTCCCTCCTCTTAACAGCTATTATAAAAGTTTCTGCTTAAAACCCAACAGGCAGCCAGCAAACCTTTGTCGCGCTCAATTCAGCGGTCTTCTGTCCTCCGCAGCTCGGAGGACTTGAATTTTCCAGAGTCGCTTTTAAAAAAATGTAATCCTCATTAAATTACATCCTTGCAAAGGTTCGCGCGGCCCTATTAAAGGGCCGGGGTTGTTTTAACTTTGACATGGACGCGGTAACAGAACCAGCTGGCTCGCTCGATTACAGAAAAGTTGGACTTGCAATTAGTTAAAAACGTAAAACGCACGTTTTTAATTTGTAATTAGTCAGTTAACGCACGTAGACAAGAAAGCAATGAAATTATAGTGAGCTCTTAAATTTATTACTCGAGTTTCATCTGAATTTTACCCACGATTTTCCGCAAATACACTTGTTGAACTTCCCTCGTTCGTAGCAAACTGGACTGTTTTTATTCGTAAATTTTTCACCGATTATTTCAAGAGGTGTTTGATGAAAATAAACATTTCCACGTCTAAGATGGACCACCCGGAACCGGCTTCCAATTAATTCTCGTTGCTCTCTTCCCATTTCCTTCGTTTCCAGCTCGCATAAACGCCCGATTCCGAGCGGGGTAATTTATAATTCAATGACTTCATAATTTCCCGCTCAACAACTGAAAGCACTTTCGACCGCATAATAGTTTCATAATTGGAAGCCGACCGGCCCAGAATTTTTAATCGAGTTCCAAGATCCGACCTTTTGGGATACGATTCAGTCGATGATCCAAGAAAAACTGGAAAATAAACAGCGTGAAATTCGTATTCACGGGAGAAAACGATGTAGTCGCGACAGTTTTTCGTCGAGGAGGATTGCACGCTGAGCGGAGCGTATTTAGGCTAGTCCGTGCTAAATTTAAATCAGTTCGTGTCGGGGCCACCGAATGAGAAGCTTCACGAGACGTTTCCATCGATTCTCGACGCGCTCAGAGGTGTCTCGGTATTCGAGAAAATTCTCAGGGTCACGGTGGAAAAGCGTCGAGTTTTCCGCTTCGTGAGTGAGTGAATTAAACGTGGCCGAAAATGGCGGGGTAAATGGTGCGCGTGATCGTCCCTCCAAGTCATCCCCAAAAAGCTGGAATCTTCTGTTGGTTCTGAGGACATTGGAATTTGTCAACGCGATACGTGACGCCACCTTGTGGAACGATTAGAATGTTTTGACGTAAATAAGAGGAAGTGTAACGAAAATACGAGCTTTTCTAAAGGTACTTTAATATTTTGTATTCTGAATATTTTATTGAATGATATAAAAATAATATTTGAAGCAACTCGAAATCGCACGGAAAGAAAGTCAACCACGTGCGAATCTATAAATACGATCGGTCGGAATTTGGTCGAATAAAAACAGCGCATGAAAAATTTAGATTCCAAAAAAGCGGACTGCATCAGAGCACGGTGAATTGATTCTTCTGTCGTCCGTGGCGGCGAGTAAAATTTCATACCTACGACAAAAGCATTGTACAAATTTAAATCGACGACAATTCAGGGAATACCACGCTCACCGTCAATCAGCTAGAAAAATTGGCACGTTCTTTCCTTCGCGTAAAAAAAGCAACGAATATTCACGGTTTCCAAAAGCTCTCGACGGGGGCGTAAAAATTAGAAAAAAAGAATAGGGACACAAAGGGAGAATGTTGTCGGGTGAAATTGTTCTGGAAGGTTGTCGGCGTTCGAAAAAGCTGTCGATAGGTCGGAAATTTGTACTTGTACCTGTGTGTCTGTCGTGGAAAACGAGGCCAACGGTATGTTTTTAACAACGCGAACGCTCGAGTTCTGCTTTTTAACGAACGTGATCCACGCAATTCTCGTGGAATAACCAAGCCCGTTCCCCTCTGTACTCGTTCAGAGCGAGCTTCGCCGTTCCTTCGACTCGGCAATTATGTTGGGTTCGACTGCAATTAAGCTCCAGTTCAGGCCCGTAAGTAGCGCATCTAGAGAGCTACTACTATTACCGATCAATTTATAGCCTATCGATATCTTCTAAGGGAGCCAGTTAAGGATCCGGTAAATGTAAATTGGCGACGAAGGGACTTCAGCCTTGTAATAATGTATCTATTGATCAAAGAAAGAACGCAAAGAACCAATCGATCCGATAAAGAAAGCTGGGTAAAGATCTGAGAAGAAATTTTCTTTACAAAGTGATCTGAAAGGTGAAACCGAAGATTTTAGATGGAGATATGCAGGCTTTCTGCAAATTATATTGCAATTAGTTGAATTATTGACAAGCAAAGTAGCAGCATATTTTAATTTGTGATTTTAAGCTTTCCGTTTACCAGCTTGCATAAATAATATAATATTAATGTTACTTCTTGCAATTAGGTCGAGGATCACTGCCATAGCGTTCAACGTGAAAGCTAGAAAGCCATCCCCTAATTACTTTCACTCCCGTCATCGTTAAAAACCAGCTTCATAGATGGTCACATATTACACCGACTAATTAGAACATTCTAATTTCTCACGCACCCCTATTTTCATCCCCTACTCGTATCCCTAATTTCAATTTCCCCGTGTGCAATAATTTATCCCGTACAACTACGATAACCATAAGAATCTGAAAATGGTCAGAAATTTACTTTGCTCGAACCTGTTTCACCCTTTTCATTCAAAGGTGCACCTTCTCGTCTGATATATATTTCCTCTTTTTACTACCTTCATCTTTTTTTTCTTGATTTATTCGAAAAATCAAGATATTCATAAACCAAGCCCTGAACTGAAAATTCCAGCAAGTTGCTCGATGAACTTCAGCTGATATTCAATTTCTATAGAGGGCCTCTCACGAGAGTGGTTAGAGTGGCGTTTCTCGAATCGGGACCAATGGCCAAATTCGCTTCGACGTGTTTAAATCGAGTCCAATCCTACTCGCAAGCATTTCGCGGTGGCTGAACCGAGGATTCGCGCAAAAAGGAGAGTCGATTTTAGAATGACGCTCGGATCGGCCACCTGTTCTCCATCGAGCTTGTTCCCATGACTGGAACCGTTCTCGTTTTCCTTTTTCCTTCCAATCTGCTGTGCACCTTGATTTTTCCGAGCTCTTCTATTTTGTATACAAAATGAATCACCTAGCTTGAAAACATTTTATTGTTAGACCGATTGAGATTTTTTTTAAAACAGAACATAATTTAACTTTATTGAAAGCCACGTGATTCAAATAGAAAGAAACAAAGCTCTCCTTGATGAAGGTAATATGAGTTTTTGACGTATGGAGCTTTCAATATAGAAAATGTAAAGTTGACGTAAAATAATATAACTTTATTGATTAGAACAACCTTTTCAAATTGCCTTCTGACAACTATTGGTATTGTAATTCCTTCACCCTGTAGTTAATCGAAAAATTATAAAAAACCTGCAGTAGCAATATTGCTTGTTTTGACAATGATTCTTCACAATTTATCTCGATTTCCGAACGTATTTTTGTAAACAAGTTGCTTTATTTCACTCGGAAAATAAAAATCCATTAATTGGGGTTACTTAATTGGAACATAGTTTCTGTGTGCTATCCATCACCCCTTATATAGTAAAACCTTTTACTTTATTTTATCTCACAATTATTTTCTTCTGTGATTATACGTGTTATTATTGTTGGAAACATTTTACTTCTGTTAGAAATAATTTCTAAAAGAAGCGATGATCAATGGATATCGCCAGAGAACCTTTATCTATGACCCGTGTAATTACTTTACAAACTACAAAGAAGAGAGAGGGATTTTCGCAGAAAAACAGATAAAGAATTTAATTATGGTGATGCAGTGGAATTAAATGAAATACAGTGCTGCTGAAATTCTTACAAATATGGGGAAAGAATACCTTGCTGTTCATAAAAAAAATAAAACTAGCGGAGAATACGATCTATCCAACATTACAGACATTTCATCCGGATAGAAGAATTCTCTGTGAAAACAATTTTATTGAACATTTCGAAAATAACGTTGCAAAATATGTACGGAGTTTAACGATTTCCTGATTCGCAAGAGGAATTTTTACAACATTTCGCTGATAACTGCGATAAAATTGTTTCACAGCTTTTAAAATCGCAAATTGCGACTCCTACGATTGTTCTACATCATTCAAAAGGGGTCGTTTGTAGCAGCAACAGTGGGAATATCGATGGCAAAAGAAGGTATACGCTGTATTTGAAATCTGATTTCGTGCATGCCGTGAAAAGTATTGAAAAAAAAAAAAAAAAAAAAATTGCAGTGTCAAAGGTTTCGAGAGGAAACAGAAATTTTCGACTTCCATGTAACATCGGCAAAAAATAGCTGACTGGAGTTTTTAGGGGATTCATATGAAATGCAAAATGTGTCTGTCACCATTGTCATTGATAATGAAGGTTTCGTTTCATATTTTTTGTTCAAAGGATATTGATTATTTTCTTTCTCTGGTTTCATTTTACATTCAAAAAATTCTGCCTAAAATTCAACCAAAAATTTTGATTTTAAAACAAATTTGTACCTCTTTAATTCATTGAATAAAAATTGATTAAAAAAATTGCACAGACGTTCCTTTCTGATAATTTTTCGGAAAAGAACAGTAAAAGGATGAACCCGATAGAAGATGACTCAATAGGTAGTGTCAATTTTCACAAGTCAGCTACTTTATTTCTCGGTGAATCGCTTGCGACAAAGTACACAACGCGCGGAAAGAGCGTGAAAATAGTTCTTTGATGTCAATTACAGCCACTATAGTCCTGTTTACCGTGCTCCGTGTCCCTGAAATGGACCTGCCTGGTTCAACCTTTCAGATTTGTTTACAATCAAAATTTTCCACGCTTCCTTCCATCGAACGATGAATTTCATTGTATAAAGTTCTAAGTATAATATTATTCTTCATTAATGTAGCTTTCTTATTTTCAAAATAATATATTTTCGAGATCTGTGAGGATTAGTGGATTCTACCCTTTAATTAAAATAATACTTTTGCCCATATTAAATATATTCTACTGGCCTCCAATCTATCAGTGCTTTCAAAGTTAATATTTGCATCAAATCTGTGTAATATCTGTGCAATTAATCGATAGAAATTTCTGCAGTGTCTACTTATTAAATAAATTGTTGCGTTTAACAAATACGATTCATATTACATTTAATTATTACCAAATGTGGGAAAATACGAATTCGTATAATGAATTCGTCCAGCTGTAAAACACGATTTCCACGAAACTGTTATACAAATAGCCATTCTATTACGCTTCAATTCACATGTATTGTACTTATTATCATGGTCTTCGGTACGATTATAATTGCTACCATTACCAGGACAGTTATTATTGTTGGGTTTCTAATCTGGTCGGCTGCAAGACGATTTCTAGACAATGATGGCCATCTTCTTGTATTCACAGGATGCATCCTAATTATTATTAATTTCAATACTATTCAATTATCACATTGTATGTGTTAATTATAATTAAGATTTTCCATAGTATGATTGGTTAAATAACAAACTAGAAATTTACTGTAATTAATATTAATTAATGTTTCATAACAAAATTGCAGAAAAATAAAGCGTAGAGGATTGCAAAATTTGTCCGTTTTGTGAATATAAAAACTCGGTCGGCAGCTTATTAAATCTGTGTACATCCAATATGAAGCGATAAAACAAGAACGAAGGATAGTACGTGTCCAGGCGATAAAAGCGTGGATTTCTTGGCCTTACCCTTTATCAGAGATGCTTTTTCCCTGGATAAACAGCTAGGATGGATAGTTGACTAAAATTTTCCATGCTTCTGTTGATCGTGCTACCAACGCTCGCGTCGTTAAACTAATATCAAACTGTGTAGAAATTCGAAAATCATATCTCGTAACGAATGTCCTGTCGAAAGTTTCTTCTCTTCGCGTTCGTGTTGCTTGAACCGTTTCCTATTCGTCTGTTATTTCGTTTCGTGTGATATACGATCAAAATCGTTGTTTAAACGACTTAGAGAAAAGTTTTTGGATTCTTTATGGAACTATAGTAATTAGTAAGATTAGTTAAAATTTGAGAATAATATTCTTTTGGAAAATACATATTTATTTTAATACAATTTGCTTTTAATTACAGTTATATTATTTTAAAATTTAGTAGCAAATTGAAAGTTTATATTGAAAAAATATCTCCTTAACAAATTACTATCGTAATGTACTCGGCATAGCCATTCTCACTACGATTATCAAGATCCTAAAGTTTTAATTAATCGAACCTGCTGAACTTAGAAATAGTAGAGTTCGAAGAAAAAATGAAATGCCGTCTGGAATGGAGATTGAATCTGGAGTTCCATGAATGTTGAAACTTTAACAAGGGAAAAGAAGCGTATAGACATTCCCACTAATAACGTCTCAATTAAGTTCCACCTCTCAAATATGTCGGGAAAGTATGAAGAACGTGTTATGAGCACAACGCGAAAGCAATCATTGCCTGCCAATTTAAACTTTCACAGCTCTGTTAGATTGTCCGAATCAAAACTTTGAAATTGAAAAAAAAAAAAAGAATAAAAGACTAATTCAACTAACCCAGGATTTTACAAAATTTCGTGAAAATCGATGAATAAATTACACTGAAAGTATTTCATGAATTGGTTACTGTCGGGAAACTTGGAAAAGTTTTCCAAATTAATTATCGGCACCGAGCACTGTAATTACGATCGCATATGTTCATTGAATATAATATTGTAACCAGCTTTATTAATTTGTTCTATACGTAATGAATTTGACTTGATACATAATCCGGCGAAATTATTGCTTTCGCTCTTGGAAACTCGTAACTAAATTAATAACGTTCTGTATAATTTAGATATAAAACTGTGGAGAAAAAATGTATGCATAAAGGAAGAATTATACTTAAAAAGAATACCCGTTTCATCCTCGCGTTCTTTAATTAAAGCAGTAATTACGATTAATTTAGTCGACCTGGAACTATTTAGTTTTTAAATTTTCAAAGGATGAGATCTGGATATACGTGAATATTACTTTCAATAATTCATTGGTTAAAAAAGAAAATTGAGATAGTTATTATCAAGGTAATTCGTGTATCTTTATCAGCTTCAGGATCCTTTGACGATGAGTCATAATAGGTCAGTGTACCGAATAGAATCGGTACGTCGCTGGAGAAGGGATAATCCCTTTGCCGAAACATTCAAAATATCAACAAATGACGGCAGACGTGCCGAAGCGCGATCGTACATTCATTCGTTCCTGAGCCTTCCTCAAGTCAAGACACGATCTGCGAGCCGAGTAAACAGTCTTTCCAGTTCTAATATAGTTTCACATTCCATCAGTTATTAGTGCGCGAACAACAATAAAACTTCGTAGCAATACTCAATGTAAGTCTGTAAAATTTATTACAATTATTTTTATATCTTAAAATAGGTATTAGACAACTTACTCTACTTATTCACCGTATTTTTATCTTGACCCCAACACTCTAATTTTGATATTATTTTTTCTAATTATACGATGATTATTCTAAGTTTATAATAATCGTACACGATCCTACGCATTCATTTCAAGACGTTGACCGTATCCGTTCCAAATCAACGCGACTAGCCCTCTTCATCGAATATCGATGAGGATAATTACGATAAGATACGAAAGTCCATCGACACACTTAATATGGCCGCTGGCATCGCAACGACCCGAGGAAGGAAGAAACTCGGGGGATGAAAGAGTCAATTGAATGAATTTTCACCGGTCGCGCGGGTCATTACGGTTTCCGGTCCCTTCTTTACCCTTTCCCCTCGCGAGAACGACGCCTTTAATGAACGTTGACACAGATTTTGAAGGAGCCAAAGAGTAACGCGCAGCGAGGACTGTTTCTGTATCCGATAAAAATCGCACCCCGTTCAAATGCCTGTCGGCTTGCCTTCATCTTGACCCTTTTTTTCTCCAATTCCAATTAATTTTATTATACTTTATGCAAAAATATCGAAACGATACCTGATCGTTCCATATAGAAATGTGTTAATTAGGAATTTAGATGCCATTTTATTTTCAATTTATGTGTATATATTTGTAAGTCCAAGAACACCGGTGTACGAAGAATAAAAAATAATAATTTCTTAATTTCTCGAGGAAATTGCTTTGTAGAAAGCGTCTTGTCGTGCATAATTATTTTATAACGCTGTGCAAGACACGAAACACAGAATTTACCAAGGAAAAATACCGGTTCTACAGAAGTTGCTTTATTCAACTTTTGTTTACAACGATGTTCCGATACTTAACAACGCAAGTTGTAGTGTTTTCTTCGTGTTATATGATCATGGTTAACGTTTGAGACTCGAAACGATCGAAGTTTCGCGGAACCCTTCATTTCTGGCTCGTTTGATTTGCAAGAAACTTTCCAATATAGCGTAAACTAAAATTCCCTCGATTTGTTTAGTTTCAATATTAGGAGAGAGCGAAGCATTTTCTGAAATCCTTCCGGGATTTCGAACGAAAATTCTCAAAATTCCGTAGCTCGTTTCGTTGGCGCACTCTCATTTCCATTGAAATACTTTGAGGAAATTTGATGCATCTACAAAATGGTTTAACGATTCTCTTCGTTTTATTAAACGGACTTTTACGGTCTTGTTTACATTCGAATTCTTAGTTAACATTTGAAACTATTTCAAAGAAAAAGAGTCGGATGGTTCATTTCAAACTTTTTATCTTCGACGAATTACGATTTGTTTTACAATGAAAATAAAATTCGCAGACAGTAAAATGCTAATACATTTTAAATTGATCGTATAGGGAAACTTAGTTGCTTGTAAAAGATTTATGTTCTTTAATAATCATGCTTTTTCTATTTTTTAGTTTACTTGGAAAGTAATTATCTTAATAGACATTCAAGTTCGTGTTCAAATTACTGTTGTTAAAAATATTTTATCATTGTAATTGCTGGTATATTATAGAATACTGCACATATATTATCCTCTGTGCAAGACTTATTAAATTATTTTCGAAACCCTCTTATTAATCACTGTATCTCGTTTCACAAACGACAAACGAGTTCCCCGCGGATTAATGTGATCTGTTTTTCGAGGAAGCTTTTATCCGTCAGTAATTCCATTACGTAATTAAAACAAGCGCTTACAGTATTTCTATTCTTTGTTGAATGACTATTTTCATTTAAAGTCACGTGGGGCGTTTCTTACGAACAGGAGCTGTCAGGTCTTCCTGTGAGTATCGTTCTTTTAAATAATCAAAGCACCGTTTTCAATAAGAGCTTTAGCAAAGGGTTTATGTAGCCATTTGCATGAAACTTTAATCTTTCACTTTACGTAGCGCAAGTGTTATTTTTTTACACTTTTCTGTTACGAATTTTCATGAGACTTTTCACGTTTCGAAAAGGGTCACTGGTAAATATTTTCGAATAAATATTATTCTTGTATAAGAATAAAAGATTTTGGTTTAAACGAGAAAAACGTGAAATAAGAAAAGGCAGAGAGAAAGAGTTCAAACTAGTACGAACAGAAAGCTTATAGTGTTATAGAATAAAAAATATTAAACAACCCTTAAAAGGATGAAAGAAAAAGCTGGAAAAGAAAATCTAAACGTTTGATTTCTCGTAAAAAAACATATCAAAGAGCAAGCAAACAGCTGACAAACGGGAGCAACGTGTAGTCACGTATTTATCCGAGATACTTTTCAACCATTTTCAATGATCAAAGAGCTTTCTTGCAGTCCGATTGATAGCAGTAAAATCGCGCGGACACACGAATGCACCGATCGTATTCGAGAAGTTGATCGTAAAGCGAACGTGACAAGTTCTCATCCCCTGTCTCTTAAATTTGGACACCAGAAAAATCCTCATGCTATAAAATACTTTGCTTTCTGTCCATAAAAATCCTGAATTGTTTTACCCATCAATAGTGATGTGAAATAGATCAACCTAGAATAGGTACAAACGAGTGAAATAAATAAAAATTGTTTGCAGAAAATACGCAAATTGTAGTTTACATTGCAAATATGATTAAAAATAAAATTTTGAAATGTTCATTTGAATCAAGAGACTCGTTATTTAAAACACAATCGACGATTGAAAGAATAAGTGAAAAGGAATTAAAATCAAGAAAAATATTTGGCACAAAACTCGATCAACGGAAGAAATACGGGATTTTTTCGCTGCAATCAATGCACGTTGTAAAAACTTGGTCGCTTTCAATTCTATCCGTAAAATCCACCGTGATGTAGACAGTTAAAAGATGAATCGCTATTCATTCGACACTCATTGCACCCGATGCAATTACGAGCCGAGAAACGTTAAGTGGCGAAACGGTGTAAGGGTTGGTATACATCAGTTTTCATCGTGAAATTTCGATTGCACCCAGCTGGGTATTTTTTCACGGATTCTTTACTGAAAAAACGATTCTATCGCCTGGAGTGACGATTTTCCGTCAAACAAACCATAGCTCTCTTGACAACTTTTTTTTATTGTCCGCGAAATAACATTTATGCAGTTTTTGAACTTTTTCGTGAAAGATTTTCCATGATATTTTTTTTAAAAACAATTATTATGCAACGACCTGAGATTTATGAAATCAACATAAACTTGCAAATCATTTTAATAATTTTGTACTTCTTTTTACTAACGAATTCTTTTGTCTATGTCAGGATTCTCTTTCATATCAACCATGGGCAGAATATTGACGATCTCGATCATCATCATCGCTTTATTGATGACAGTGCCAGAAAGTCGTGGTGCATCCCGAGTTCTCAAAATTGGTGAGTAATAAAATGAAGTCAAAATCATCGACTACAATTCATACTTTCAATGTAATCAATTCGATCCGACGAAAGTTCACCTAGTAATTAATTTAGCAAATACAAAGTTTATCAATCCTCGAAACATGGAATAACTTCCGGTCTAAGCCAATTTCCGTTGCATCGTAACGAGCGTTTCACGAATGTCGCGACTGCTAAAAGCAACTCGGCGTTAACAAATTTCGAGTTTAAGCGAACAGCGTTCCGAATTCTTTGGAGACGAAAAAAGGGACGTGCCGAACGTGTCCAAATTAAATTTCTACCTGTTCCGAAACAAAAGCTTGTGCAAACAAAGAAGAAAAAACGAATCTTCCCTTTTTCCAACAGGGAAACAATGCGACTTATTTTTCACGCTGACTCGAGCTGACGTGCAAATGTTTTTACAATAACTGTATTGCCTCAACTTCTACACATGTCCCGGACAAAAGGAATCTACAGTCCGTTGCACGTTACTAGATAGAATACCCTCTTTTTTTTTTTATTTTCTTGTTAAACTCAGGTAATTCGTCAGTCGAAGTGCGTCCGATAACAGTGTCTCGTAAATTGCTCGTATCTCGACCCAGTGCACTCGTTGGTCGGAAACAGGGTGATGCTGTTTGCACTTTATAGGCGTATTACGCGACTGCTCTTCTCACCAAGTCACGTATATGTACTGGGTGGACCATAAATCTAATGATAGTCAAATATTTCAAAAGAAATACATTTTAGAAAATTATAAGGTTCGAGTAGGGTCATTAGCTAGGATTATTAACCCTGAGAGGGGTGTTTAAGGAGCACACCTAATTTTTTCATATTTTCAATTGGAAAAATTTAATATACAATGGAAAGTTGAAAATTTGATCTGGATATGATAAGATCATACTCAGTCTTCAGTTCCAAAATTTAACCAAGTCATCCTACCTGAGCCTTACTATACAATTTTTCTATTTAACATTTTTTTTTCTTCTGAAATATTTGATCATTGCCAAATTTTTGAAACACCCTTTACACGTAAATACATAGCCGTGGGTTACCGAAGAAAGCGTTTGTCATAGCGGCGACTTAGTAGAAATTCCCCTTATGAAAATGCCCAAATATTTAGAGAAGAACGAATGGCTTTCATAAGGGCTCTGTTCCAGCGTATGCAGTAGCTGCATTTACCATGATATGTACACACCGGTTGCACACATTCGTGCGCAACCGTGAGCCGCGTGAATACCTTGGCAGACTGAATATTTCGTTGAGTAGCCCGGCCGAAAATCCCGCGGAATTCATCTACGCGCGCGAGTAGACTGGTACTGAAATTTTCTTTCCACCGAGAAATTATTCCCGGCTTAATTCGAACGAGGGAAAGAATTTGCTCGCGCCTATGTTTTGGACGCCCTTAGTTCGCTGGAAAATATGTGTTTAATTAAAGCTTAAGGTGTTCGTGTAACAAGGTGCAGAATTTAGTTGTATTTTACATGGAAAACATTTAAAGAATTTAGAAGTTCTTCGAATTTTCGCTCAGAGTCAAAGCTCGTATACTTTGTGATACGAAGAGACAAAAAATGAGCAAATGTGAAAAAGAAAATTTCTGATGGATTCTGTGTCGTCTCTTTCTAATGCCTTGGAATATGTTGACACGATCGAATGTAAACTTCAAATATTTGAAACTTTGCTCTTCTGCTTGGAGCATTTGTATGCTTGTCGTACAAATACACCCCTGCAATGGAATAAGTTTTGAATTGCTGGCTCGCTTGTACCTTTGCACTCGCGTATTTTCTTAATCCAACAGATATTGCTAGACTGTGCTCTCGAATCATATCACATAACATCTGATTTCTTTACAACATTAGTAACCTTCAGATCGCAGGTACTACGTTCAACCGATGTAATAAACGCGTGAAATGTAATTACAGTTTGAAGAATGTTTCGTGATACGAGATAATGAAAAGTAGTACGATCATTAATCACTGTCTCGTTAAAATTACGGTATCGTTTTGCTCGATATTACCGTCACTTTAAATTATCATTGATGGTCGGATAATTAATTCGATGGTTTTGCCGAAAATATTTAACCGTGACACGAAGCTAAGACAAATAGGATCCTGACCGAACTGTCGGTCTGAGCCATTTCAGCTCTACTTGCTTTAAGCGAGACTGCATTCCGTATGGCTGACTATGAATGGGCCATTCTACTTGCCCAAGTCGGATCCTATTCATCAACGCGCTGCGATCGAACGACTTCACTACAAATAATGAAATATTCCTCGATTATCTATCACCGTTTAAGACGCCACCACAACGATTTATCATTGAGAAATTCAATGGGTTAGAGTAGATCTGTTTTGATAAGAAGACTATCACGATTTCATGGGATAAAAATATATCAATTTGAAATTTAATAAAAATAATCCTCGGACGGCGGACATTGTACATATTTTTAAAGTTTGAGCCTCGATTGATCCAGACTCTGCTGTTCGAGGGTTAAATTTTGGATTGAAGTTACGAAGTCTTATTTAGCAGTACTTTTATCCCATGAAATCATATATAGAAGCCAACGTGCTCGTACAGAATTTGTTTCCGTTGTTTCACGAGTCTCGACTAAGGAAAAATTACTAGTCATTCGAAGGGCCTTAAGCCCTGCTGGTCGATCCTCTAAAATTTCCAGCATGCCAGCACGATGTGACTGTAAATAAGGATTATATTCGCGTACATGTCCAGCGTATAAAATTATGCGCTGTGCGTGCCGTTCGATCGGACAGCTTTACGACTTGACCCATAATTTCGAACGTACTCCAATAAACAAACATCCAAATGATCTGCAATTCAACAATGATGAAATTCAAAAATTTCCAATCGAGAATCTCGAACACTCTCGTATTTTCACTTCGAATCAAAAATCAAAGTCTGAGTTACGAATCGTCATTCATTCCCGTCGAGCTTCCTGCATAGTCAATGTTTATCGATGCAAAAGCGAATAGCAGGATGAAAACAGAAGGGTAGAGAAGAATCGATTGAAAAGAAGGTAGACGAGGCGTTTGAAGGATCGTCGATTTCCTGCTCTCGAACAGCTTCGCGGGTAGCCTCCTCCTACCGGAAGCGAGGAGCGTGGTACCAGGTAGCGACTTCCTTTTGCCCTCCCTCGATGGTAGCCACTCTTTTCAAGCACGACGTGCCATCGTGAAAATGCCCTTCCTAGTAAGTGATTACTTCCTTTTCAAACGTGTAACCGGATCGGGTATGCGTGTACCTTCATTCAATGGAGTCGAGAGACGCTCCTTTTCATTGCTGTTTCCCGTAGAAAAACTGCCCCTCCTCCTCGCTCGTGAACTTTTGATAACGTTATTAGAAGTTGTCCCCCGACGACTCCAAGCTGATGCTGTTCCTCGAGCTGTTTCCTTGAAGGAGAAATAAAGTTAACGCGGCAGTAAAGTGAAACACACATTTAGAGAAATGGAAACGGAAGTAAGGAGAGGAGATCGATATTCAGTGTGTAGATAAAGGTGTGATGTATGGTTTGCTAGAAATGTGGGAGTGGCGAGGATGTTGCTGGCATCGTTGACGGATGCCGACGTTGCTGGAAGTGATCTGCGGTCCGTGCTGAAGAAAATACTGGCTCTGCAAACGGATACGCGAACCGAGAACGTCGCTGTCATTCTCCATACTGAATTGTTCTTCTGTTAGAGCTATGGATATTCGAAATTCTCTTCTGCAAGGTTTCTTATAATTCGAGAGTACTTGCCCTTTGAATTATATTCAAACACTTGAAGATCTTCAATCGAAAATTTGAAGTCTCAAGACTGTCCTTATTATCTTAGTGCAGAGTAATTTCTATTTTCATAAGATTGATACATTTCGAATTATTGAACCCAGAGAAGATAGCGGAATCGTTTAAGAACGATATACTCGAATTCCTATGTATCGAATTGAACAGCTCATCTATGGAGACCAAAGTTCCTAATAACTGTTTGGTTCACTTCTATCCACCTTGGGAATTGTAATTACTTCGTCGAATAATTTACAGGTATTCCTCGTACATGATAGTTGATCGTAGCTCGTTAATTAAAGGCAATGATTAGTCCAATCACTCCCTATTCATACGACATATGCGACAGAAGGAACTTCGTATCATGTTTGATGCTAATTATCTCATCGTCATCCGAAATTGTTAAAGAGAAGATTTCTTCCATGCTGAAAAGAGATTATTTGTTTTATAAAACCATTAATTATACCCATATAAATATTTGAGTATGTTTGAAATTTCCTAACGAACCACACCAAGAGTATTCGTTACCCCTTCTTTTGATGTTCAAACAATGTAAAAAAAAAGAAATTTCACAACGTTGACACGTAATATCATTCCTCGTTTTTATTCTTTTTCATTATAATTCTTTGGCCGATATTATCGTTGAAAAAGATACGAAAGTTTCCTATTTCGTCTTATATTTCTCGGCGCGCTTTGCTCCCTTTGCGTCACTCTATTGCAGCCTCGATAATAGCACGGCTAAGCTCGACTTTGTGGATAATAGTTATAAGTTTAATTAAACCAGTTCTTCGTGGCGCAACCCTCCATTCTTCCTTTGGGATATCGTGCCGTGAGAAGCGAGGATGATTCTCGTATCAAAGAAGAAAAATTACGGGACGCGAAGGATCTTTTTCCGTTTACCGAGAAATTCGTCGGAAAATAGAGAGGCAATCCGACTGCATCTACAAGCGAATTTTAATTGCCCTTTGAAACAGAGGAAATCATCTCGAGCCTGTACAAACCTTCGAGTTTTCTTCCACGATTATGACATTATCGAGAACAGGATTCTTCGCCTTTAACAAAAATATTTTTTAACCAGAATCGAGATATAACATGAGGTAGCATAATCACCTCGAATATCTTTTAATTACAAAGCCAAGCTTTTATTCCAACAATGTAACAAGGAAGTTGTTTAATGTTCCTCGAAAAAGGGTGCAGAAACATATTCTTTGGTTTCATCCAGGACCATTTC